ATTGGGTCATTTCATGGCCAAAGTGTATGAGGAGTCAGCCTGTGTCTCAAGCAAGTATAGAGGGTGGACGACATGGAAGACCTTGACCACAGGCTGGCCCTGAGGTCCACTTTAAGAAAACATGTCTCTGGAGGTCATGTCCAGCAGTCTACCCTTGGCAGTACACCATGACAGTGTCCATCTCCCCTTGTGGGCACACTCACACACACACACACTCACACTCTTATAACACTCACTGTGTTATAAGAGTACCCAGACTTCTGATAGGCTAGGAGATTTCTCCCATCATGTATGAGTCCTCATTATGCCTTTATTTATGTGTGCACTAAATAAAGACCAGCAGATGTCTGCGAAGCAGAGTCTTCTATATACCTCCTTTCTCCTTATATAATGGGTGTATGGCCACCTTCCAAATTAGTGTGAGGGTCACACAGATGGCTAAAGAGTCTGAACAATCTGGAAGGAATTATAAAAGCCATGTTATTATCAGCTATCTATCCCACACTTCCATCTCTTAACATGAATCTCCTGCTGTTGTGGGTGTCATGGTTTCTCCTGTCTTTGCGTGTATAGGGAGAATGGAAATTGAACAAAACAAGGGGAGGGTTAGTTAGAGAAGGCTTTGAAGTGTTAGTGTGGAAGTGACTCTTAAGGCGTCCCAGCTTTATTTACCCCTGTTCTCCTCTGTAAACCATGGTGACAGGGAATTTCTTTTCTGTTTTTAATGACAAAATTGAGTGTAGAGAAGGACTGGAGAAAATATTACCCAAGGTCATATGTGGCGTCTCTTGGGCTGTCCTTGGGCCTGTTCAAATATTTCACCCACTAAATAAATTCCTTTGAGATTTTTCTCTTCTTTGTTCAAACAATCATTTTCCAAGGGCAAGAACTGTGGCAAATTATTGATCATAAGGACGGCAGAGAACTCACCTAGGCTGTAAATTTACCTCACAGAAGTTTATAAAGTGATGGGAAGGCTTTCCTCAAAATTCAATCACGAAGCCTAATTCTTCCTAAGTTTCCTTGGCAGTCTGTCATCTCTTGAATCATGTAAACTTCTTTGTTCTTTGGTGAACACTGAACGGAAATACAGTTATGCTTCCCTATTAGATGTGTTAGTAATATGTTTTCTCCTTTAGCAGATAGTATACTGGTCTAGAATCTTCCTCGACATAATATATAGTGTTTTCCAAGCTAGTCTAAGGTAGAAGTTAGACGACCTGAGATTGACTGTGACTTTAGAAGGCACTTAACTATACTGACCTCCCATGTACACTTGTCAGTACAGTGGTGGGAGATATTCTTCTCTCTGGCATTATTCCAGGGATACAGAAGATGCAGATGAGTGCAGGCCATCCACAAACTTAAAAGTATAGCCCCATAAAGCTATGTCTCCTTTGTCTGCTTTTATCATTCGGATTTTGCCAGAAAATAGCACAAAACATCTTAAAAATCTAGTCTTGTTTCCCAAGAAAACTCTACTATCATGCCTGTAAATGCATTATTTATTTTTTTAATAGTGAGCAAACTATGGAAAAATCAGTTTCGCTAAACATAATTTTATTGATGTAATATTTGCAAAGATAAAACTCACTCAATCAAAACATCACAACACTGAATTTCACAGTTAAGCCCACATGCAGATTGTAGAATTGTGCTGCAGACTGAGCCGGTGGAAGGTGTTAAATATAAAAATAATCCAAGGCAATTTCCATTTAGCACATTGTACAAAACTCATTTTTCAAAGTGATTAACTAGTTTGTAAAATCTTTCTCATCAGTGCTTGTGTTCAAAGTGCTCTGTAGCTTGGAGGATAATGTTGGGGTGAAGACCTACAGCAGCCGCAGGGATGTGGACCAAGATGTGGAGTAGAGGAGATCCGGCCATGGAACACGGCACAGAGCAGGGAGGCTCCTGGCACACTCAGTCACCTTGCTCTTCAGCAGGAGAGGCAAGTCCCAAACACACTCCATACACTCATACAGAAATGAGCTCAGTGGTGGATTCATCACGTCTGTGGTGGTCACCATCTCCTTTAGAATGACTATACAGAAGGACATACTGTATGCTTTGTCACAGAAGGCAAAGAGACTAAGATGAACTTGACAGTGCCCCTGCAAACTGTTTCCCAACCACGGAGAGTCCACTAATGATCCATCTGTGCAGTGTTCTGAGCTTTGGTGCACTTTTGAGCCACGTCCAAGGTTTGGTAAAGCAGCAGTTTCTAGCCCCCCTTCCCCAGCACCCTCTGCAGTTTCTAATTATGCGAAGAGGGCAGGTGGCAAGCTCTAGGTGATGATGTCTGTGATAAAACGATCTGTCCACTCTCTGTTCCAGTATGTCTGCTCTGGTACATCATTGATTATCAAAAAGCTCCATTGTTCATCAAAATTTAAACCATCTGTAACAACAGGACACCTTGACAATAGCAACACGGAGCAGATGGCAGACAGAGTGACTGTCTGGTGTCTCTGGGAAGGGGTCCTCAACTTTGGCTATGTAGTAGAATCAAGAAAAAATAAAATATTGATGCATAAGTCCATTAAAAACTAAATATATCCGAAACTTTGTGGTAAGGAAAGAACTCAGTCACTAAAGTGTCCCATGAAAGGTCAATTCTCCTCCTGGCTGGAGATGGCTGCCTTGGAAAATTCTCATCTCCCCACTTATAGAAAGAAGGCAAATCATGTGAGCATGGTGTGTGGATGTCGTCAAGAAAACTTAGACCCTCAGATTATGCTGATACCCAACTAGGGAATTGTATGTGGGCATTATCTGGAAAGTGGGTTGTGACTGCTGACTTATTGTGGGCTGCATGGTCACTCAGCTTTGAAATAACAAAACCCAAGAAGAAGTGCAGGCTACAGATCTCCAGAATGACATCAGGTACAAAGTATGTGCAATGGACCACACATTCCCAGAGTCTGTGTGATGGGCTCTGTTTTCCCAGAGTGTAGCTGATGGACCAAGTCTTCCCAGAGTATAGGTCATGGACCACATCTTACCAGAGCATGTGTGTCATGGACCACATCTTTCTAGAGTGTAGGTCATGGACCACATCTTCCCAGAGCAAGTGTGTCATGGACCACATCTTTCTAGAGTGTAGGTCATGGACCACATCTCCCCAGAGTGTAGGTGATGGATCAGATCTTCCCAGAGTGTGTGTGATGGACCATGTCTTCCCATTACAATCATAACACTCCTCACAGTTACCTAGATTAAGTACTTTTTTTTTGCATTTGAGCAGACTGATAAATAACGCTTCCAAGAACAAAGTGCTAAAAGCCACTCTTTGCTAGTCTGCAAGAGAAAATAGGACACAAAGGCACACAAACAAAGGGCATTTTCAGGACTGTTCCCATTTTACACACAGGCACGCGCACACACACACACACACACAAATAGGAATATTTATTGTTTCCAGAAGAAAGTGAATTTCCATGCCATGGAATCTTTTTCCTGGGAGGATTTGGAAAGGCTTGGAGCGATCTTCAGTTTTAAGGGGACATGGAAGATACCAAGCAGCTCATTTCCAAAGACCAGGTTATTAAGACACAATCCCATGCATGAAATTAGGACTAATATTCAACTGCAAAATTTTTTTAAAGTGATTTAAACAAATTCAAGCCATCAGGGCTCACTTTCTGCTAATCTTTGGTAAAAGTCAAATGTTTGAAAGTCATCACTTTAATTTAAATATAGTAGATTTAAATCACTTTGACTGAAAATTCTCAAAAAACCCTAGTCTCTGTTTGGAGCCACAGCTCCCCTGAGGGCAAATCTACCTGAGCTATTTCACCATGGTTACTAACCTACTGAACAGCAAGTACAGACCAAGATCAACGCAGGCCAATGGTGAGTTCAAAGAAATCTAAAGTACTGGTGAAGTGCCTGTTTGGTTTTTTTCCACTCTATATCTTTAACTGTGACAGTTTCACAATACTCTGGGGGAAAAAAAGCACTGTGGATAAAATCATTCAAATAATAGAAAGTAGGCACTAATGATGTAATGATGTCTTAGAAACAACAGATATAAAATAAACATATTTTGATGCTTACTTCCACTATTCAAAACTTAGGCATTTAAACATTATATTAAGCATAAGTACAATAAACATTGTATATTAAGTATTGGTAACCTATGCATGGAAAACATACATTTATCAAACTCTGTAAAACATCAGAGTCAAAAGCATAGATGCATTTACAAGGCTAAATGACCACAGACAAGCTTTGCTCCATCCTTTAAAACCCCAAGGTGGTGGTGGGGAGTTGAGAGGAGTTGGAGGGGAAAGGAAGAGGTGCATTTGATCAAAGCACGTTATGTGTGTATGAAAAAGCTAATGTCGAACGAGTTTAAGAGTGAATTTGACCCTTTGTGTCTGGGCTTTGTAGCTGGCGGCACATTCTTCTCCATGTGTCTTTTTAATTACTGTACAATATACTTTGGTCACATTCTTCCCTCTCCCCCAGCTCCTCGATGTCTGACCCCTCTGTATATTGTATGCTCTGTCCCTGAGACTTGTGAGACATGCAGATCTCACCTCAGGGAACACACATGGATAAAGGGCCTCATAGAGAACTGATCAGCCCCCTGTGTGTGCTCTACCCCTCCCCCATGTCCACCAGACCCTTCAGACCAGCCTGGGGCCCCGCAGCTTGGAACTGAAGGCTATACGTCAAGAACACAGTAGACACCAGTGAAGCCTGCCCCTCAGAGAGGGGACCCATGCAGGATTCTAGTGTCCTGCAAACACAGCAGACTAAAGCTAAGCCGCTGTCATGGAACCTTCTACTCCCTGTGTTCAGTGGGTCATCCACACTCTCACTTACTCTTTGCAGTTTTTCCAAGGTTCTAGAAAATTCCAGGTTCCTGGGAAGTGCTGCCTCTATGCACTGCTAAGCTGTCTCTCTTTGAGGCACTGGTCCTCTGACCTCTCCAGCTGCTTCTGACCGGTGTCCCTCATGCTGCCTCCCAGATCCAGCCTGCTGCCAGATGCCTACTGAGAGACCTTCTCTACCCCTCCCTCAGAGTCCTGCACTTCAGGGGCCTTCTGGTCCTGTGTGGTCTCCACAGGCCCTGCTGATGTCCCCTCCATCACCACTGCCACCTTCTCTGTCCTTGCCCCCATGTCCTCAACTATCACCCTTTCCTCAGCTGCTGTTTCCCCCAGAACCTCATCTGCTCTGTTCTGTGTTTCCTTCTGGCCATCTGCAGAGGAGGAGGCCATGCTGTCCCCATAAGTTGACAATGACTCTGCTAACATTTCCCTCTGGTCTTCAGCAATTTCATCAGCTCTTCCTCCATGTGGATCCTCCTCATCTTTGTCTGTGCCTCTTCCCATGGCCCAGATCTGCCCTGCCACACTGTCAGCCGCTGACCCTGAAGGGTACTTTCTATCCTCACCTCCCTCTTCCTGTGGTTTCTCTCTCTCAGGCTCTCTACTCAACACCTCTGCTATGGTGACCCTTTCCTCAGGAAGGCTTCCATGTGTAATGATGCCCCTTCCTTGGCCTTCCAAAGGCCCTTCTTCATGCAGTAGCTCTGGTCCTTCAAGGCTGTCTAGCTCCTTGGCAGCCCACTCTTGGCTTCTAGCTGTGAAAACATTCTCAGGCACCCGAGCTTTGTCTGCTGGCTCAGGTCCAGGGGCTCCTAGCAACCCCGTTCCATCATGGCTGGGAGCCCTCCCTTGCTGCAATGGAGCCTCACCTTCCTGGCCTGGAAGCTCTTCTTTGTGCTCTGTAGCTGTGGCTTCATTCTCTTCCAGTAACTGTCCAAATTGAAGTTTTGCTTCAAACAAGGTGATGGTTCTTTCTTTGGGTGAATCTTGTAGAAGTCTTGGGTTCTCATTCAACTTGATTGCCCTCGTGGGATCTCTATCCTCAGCATCAGTCTCCATCTTGTTGGGGGATGCATGGGCCTCTTCCACCGACCTCACTTCCTTCTCTGTGCTCTCCTCTTCCACCGAACTCACTTCCATCTCTGTGCCCTTTTCTTCCCCTTTAACCTTTTGCTCTTCTAACTTCTCTTCTGTCTTCAACACTTTGACCCCTGTCACCTCTTCTCTTTCAGATCCAGTTTCTCTCAGAGGTGTTGGGTGCCTCTCAACTTTCTCCCAGTCTCCAGATGCAGAAAACTCCCCAGGGAGCACTACTCTGGGATCCTGTTCCAGGGTAGATTCTATGTCAGCCATAACTCCCTCTCTTGCTGTGTCTTCCTTCCAGAGTGCCTCAGGGTTGCCCTGGACATCCTCCCTGGCACTTGCCCCTACTTCTCCTGCCGAGGAACTCAAGGAAGCTTCTGCTTCTAGAACTTTCCTCCTCTCAGTAGCCGCTTTCCTTCCTCCAAGTATTGCAGCTTCAAAACCATTCTCTCTCTCCTGTGCTGTGTCCTCCATGGGCTTCGTATCCTCTAGCTCTGTGAGAGCTCCCTCTTTGCCCTGGTCACCATCTGGTCTTGGGGTGCCCACCTCCCTCTCTACCTCCTCCAATTCAGGAGTCTCTGCTTCTTTCAGAACTGCTGATTCCCCAAGAGTCTCTGAACTGAGCACTGCCTTCTCCAATACCTGCCCCCTTTCTGAATCTGCCCTATCTTTCTCCACCACTGTCTGCAGCAAGGTCTGCCTGTTGGGGTCCACATCTCTCTGAGACACTGAGACACCTGTGGGGTTTAACTGTTCCTCACCACACCTGCTATGTCCTTCTGAGCCTGCCTCTGCCTCACTAGCTGTGCTCGGGGGGCGCTCTCCTTTCCCTGTCGACTGCTCTGCTAATGCTGGCTGCTCTTCTGTGAGGTTCCTCTTCCCCAAGGGGACCTCTACACTTCTCCTCACTTTCTCCCTCAGCTCAACATTCATGTCAGCATCCTGGGGATGGTGGGCTTCATCTTCCTCCTTCCTTGTTTTCTCCCTCAGTGCGGCATCAGTGTCAGCATCCTTAGGCTGGGAACGTTCATCTTCCGCCATAGCTGTTTCCTTCTCCAGTGTGCACACCCCTCGTGCAGCTTGCTCGGGTTGCTCATTTGAGCTGCTGGCTGCCCTTTCCTCCACCACTGGGTTTCCATTGGTGCCATAAAAAGTAAGATGAGAAACAAGGTGATTTTTATCAAAGCATGTAAAGCAGAAAATACAGTATGGACTCTTATGGAGTATTTATGAGACTTTGTATGTCATCAAAAGGACACTTAAATTATATATCAAACCTGTCTTCAGTTGATATGATGCTGTTAACTAACATGGACCATGAGTGATAAATGCCCTTCCTTTCTTATGAAAGGGAACGCTTTCAAATTTAAAAGACACATTAATATAAAAACACATCTTTAATCCCAGCACTTGGGGGGCAGAGACAGGTGGATCTCTGTGAAGTTTGTGGCCAGCCCTACTCTGCAAAGTGAGTTCCAGGACAGGCTACATATTACAGAGAAACCCTGTCTCACAAAACAAAACAACCATAAAAAGCACAAATAACAAAAGTCGAAAGCTGGGCATGTTGAAATGAGTAAACACAGTACTCCTCAGTCTCATATTTTATAATCAATAAATTATCTGACATATAATACATACAACATACATATATACACACATCACATACACACATACACATACTAGTTTCATTTCAAATATTAAGATTTAAGAAATCATTTTTGCAATAAGCAGAAAAGTATTTATTTCCCTTAAAACTCATCATTCCCTGCAATGTCAAGAGTGTGTCTACCTCAGTGGCCATCCAGCCACATGGCCAGATCCCAGAGATGGCAATCACCATATCATATACCACTCCCAATACCCGAAAGCTCCTCTGGTTAGATACAGTCATCAAAGTGTTTATCACCGAGGTATGACATTTCACTAAAAACAACAATCTGTATTCCATGTTAGGTTGCATGCCATCTATGCTCAGAAACTGATTGCCTTTGGCAAAACAGGATCAGGACCTTCTGGTGTGGAACAGTGTCCAGCATAAACAACCCTCCTACAACACTGCTGACATATTTCACAAGTTCCGATGCAAGATTCTGGGAAATCTGAATCTGCAGGTCTACTATGTCTTTGAAAGGTCACTGAATTTCTCAGTATTTACCAAGACATGAGTTCTTATGAAGCATGTGACAACAATTACCCAAAAATCTTTAGATTTCCCAAGTGGAGGCCCCTACTCAGAGTGGTAGGAACTTCAGAGGAAGTATCTCAATAGCACTTATTACTCTAATGTTTTATTAAATATTTTTATTTTATTTATGATTGTGGTCCTGTCTGGTGTGTGCATGTCCACAACAGCACCTGAGGGGGTCACAGGACAACTCTGTGGAATCTTCTCTCCTTCCACGTTCACGTGGGTTCCAGGGTGGAACTCAGTCACGAGACTTTGCACAGGAAGTGTCTTTACCTACTAATGAGACTCTCCAGCCCAAGAACGCCAATGTTTTTCATTTATAAAAGAAAGTCAGGGCTGGGATTACAGCTCAATCGGTGAGGTATGCTGTGCCCTACAAGGACTTGAGTTGCATCTCCAGACTCCATGATAAGAAAAAATTAAAGCCCAGATGCAGTAGTGCACACCAATAAACTACTACTAGAAATCAGGGGATAGGTGGATTCCTGGGGGTTGGTGGCCAATTGAAATAAAGGGCAAGACCCTGCCCAAATAAACCTTTAATTTTTATAAAGGAAATCCATGAGGGATTTTATGCTCCTACTAAGAAAGGACAAAGAAATGAGCATGTAGATGCCATTCAAGGAAGAGGCCAGGCTCCATCCATCCCCAGCAGCCCCGGAACCCGGCACTGTTGTCCATCTCTAGCTTTAGAGTTATAAAGAGGCTGGAGAATCTTCATTTGGAGTTAAGGAGAGCTGCTGAGTCCAAGCATGTGCAGGAGAGAACACTCAATGAAGCTGTGAAAGTGAAGCCTGGATGATGGTGGTGAAACCATGGCCCGGGGAAGCTACAGGCAGGGAGTAGACTGTGAAGAAGAGAGCAGAGTTCTGCAGTCAGCTGAGCTGGAAGGGCTGAGCTGTCGAAGCCTTGATATGAGACCTGGGACTTGGATCTTGTTTTGGTTCAGTATTTCCTCACTATGCCCCCATCCCTCCATTTTGCAATGGTAATATATATACTCTGTGCCATTTATTGCACGTTGGAAGTATTGATTGGAGGTTTTGATTTATAGGGGATTACAGTTAAGATATTGCTTTGAGCCTCAGAAGAGACTTGGATTTGAACTTTTAAACATTGTTGAGACTGTAAAAGCCAATGGGGACTTTTGAAATTGAACTGAGTACATTTTGCTTCATGACATGGCCACTAGCCTTTAGGGACTAGGAAGTAGAATTTGGTAGTTTGAATGAGAATTTCCCCCCCCCCCATACGCTTATATAAACTTGATCTCTAGTTGGAGGAACTGTTCTGGAAGGATTAGAAAAAGTGGCCTCGTTGGAGGAGGTGTGCGGCTAGGGGTGGGCTTTGAAGTTTCTGAAGACAGCTCAGTGTGCGCTCTCTGCTTCCTCCTTCTAGAACAGCATTCAGCTGTTCCTGCTGTCATGTTTGCTGTGCCTCCATGGGCTCTAACCCTGTGAAACCATAAGCCCAATTGAACAATTTTTTTTATAAGTTGCCTTCGTGTGATGTCTGCTCTTGGTTGTCAATTTGACTGCATCCGTAATTAACTGAAACCCATATGAGTGGGCCCACCTGTGAGGGACTTTTTTTTCTTAATTGAATCATTTAAAGTGGGAGAAGCACTCTAATCTGATCTCTGGGGTGGGAAGGTAACCCTTCATCTAGATCATTTGAGATGGGAAGATCCACCTTTAATCTGGCCACACCTTCCACTGGCAGCCTATATCAAGGACATAGAAGAGCGACTCTCTCTCTCTCTCTCTCTCTCTCTCTCTCTCTCTCTCTCTCAAGACCAGATGAGACTTGTGGACTAAGCAGTTACTGAATTCTTGGGCAGTCTGTTCACAGGCAGCCATTGTTGAGTTAACTGGAGCACAGCCTATAAATAATTCTAATAAATCCCCTTTCTATATATAAAGATGCTTTCTATAAATTCTGTCACTTAGAGACCCTGACTAATACACTTGTCCATGGTGTTTTTCCACAGCAATAGAAAACTAACCGAGACAAACTTCATATACATACACTTACAAAAGGACACATTTGTAGATTCTATGAATTATAATACATTATTCTACCATTATATCATGTAAAGTTATGAAATAGGCAAGCAAATCTTCCTCATTTTCTTTGCTCACTCGAATTCTCCAAATATTTTTTGCATGTATTTATTGTATGGTGAGTGGTCATTTGCCTACCAGCGGGAACACACGGAAGTCAGAGAACAACATTCAGTATTCAGTGCTCTCTCTTCAGAGTGTTGATTCCAGGATGGAACTCAGGTCATCGGGTTTGGCAGTAAATGCATTTACCCTCTGAGCAGAGGCTTGCTTGCAGTTTGGCTAACTATTTTACCTATAGTACTGTCACTGACAACTAAAAGAAACCAAAACCCTGTTCTTACATCACCCCTTTCCCTCCATATAGCCTACCTCGCTATTGCCTCTTCAAACATATCCTTTGCTGTCTGTCTCAGTCTCTTGCAAATCATACCACAAGCTATTTGGATGGCAGCCAATAAAATCTGACATGATAGTCCCCTTTAAACATATATTTAGAAGATGGTTTCTGTTGTCTTCAATCAAAAAGTAAAATTTTAATAATCCAGATCTATCAGTGGGGCTAAGATTGGGGGAGAAGGGATGGGGGTGAGGGGAGGGAGAGGGAGAAGGAATTGACATGTGAAACAAGCTTGTTCCTAATTTGAAATAATAATAATACAAAAAAGAATCCAGTGGTAGAGAGGGAAGAGTAATGAGCACAGGGGTCAAGACCATACTGGAGAAACCCACAGAAACAGCTGACCTGACCAAGTGGAAGCACACGGACACCATTTGTAAAGCTGGGGAACCAGCATTGGACTGAGCCAAGCCCTCTGGATGTGGGTGCCAGTTAGGAGGCCTGGGCAGGCTATGGGACTTCTGCCGGTGGAACTAGTATTTATCCCTAGTGCACAAATGGACTTTGGGAGCCCATTACCCATGGAGAGATACTCTCACAGTCCAGATACATAGAGGAGGCCCTAGGTGCTCCCCAAAATGATGTGACAGACTTTGATGATCCCCATGAAAGCCCTCACCCTCCGGGGGAAGAGAATGGGGGTGGATGGGGAGGTTGGTGGAGGAATGGGAGGATGGGACGGAGAGGAAACTAGGATTGATATGGAAAATAAAATTGTTTCTAAATTAAATAAATAAATTAAAACAAATAAGTTCATAAACTAAAAAACAAACAACAAAAAAAAGATTGGCTTTTATAGGTCATCTTATGGACATCAATTAGCAGTTTCCAAGATTGTACTTAAGAGCTTTGGAAAGGATATGTAGAGTCAAAGTGTCTTCTCAGATGACATGTAGCCAGTCCACCCATTTCTACTTCACCACAGACTGTGCCTGTCTCAGAGCACAGCTATGGTGGGGCAATGAGAAAGAGCCCTGGATGTCAAGTTCCTTCTTCTTACCTATTGCTGCTCAGATTCCTACATGAAATGTAGGACCTACATTCCTACATGAAGTCCATAATGGAAAACATTTAAATAAAGACATCTGTTTTTCTAACCTGGCCTTTAAATTTATGGATTAATTAAAGAGCATTCTTGAAAACAGGAGAATAAAATTGCCTAGTCACCAACTAATAATATACTGTTTAAATTCTAGGAGAAAATGTGCTAATGGCATCCAGCTGAGCTGTTATATAGCACACAGAGCACAGAGAAGTCAAACAGAACATTCCCAAAATATGGGGGAATGGATCATTGAAGCCTTTCTCAGAAACAGCGGTGTGTAAAGGTGTGTTTTTATGGCATCCCATGAGCTTTGGGGAAATGTTTCACAGAAGCAAGTGCTCAGTCCTCATGGACAGGACCATTAGGTCCTATGCAATAAGCCCGTGCCTGGGGGGTTGACAGGCCTGGTGCCCACGTAGCTCTATGTTCGCTAGTTATGTGAACTTAGGAAATGGCACCTCTCAGGCTTTCGGTTTTTTTATCTATAAAGTGGTAGCAGCCATTTTGACTGGCAAAATTCTTGTAGCAATCAATGGTATGACTGTGTGAAACACTCAGTACTGCATCTTTCCATAAGAGCCTCATGACTTCCTACTCTCTCAGCCCACGCATTCAGTGAACTAGCTTTCTTAACTGGAGTCTTGCTTCCTTAGGATCATCTGTGGCTATATTGTATGCTTGGGAGGGTCACCAGAATTCCTCTAATGGAAAGTCTACTGCAAAAGTTCAACATGGTTCAACATGGCTCTACTGTGACTCTACCCACTGCTTCTTCAAATGTCACCTGACCCTCTTTACACTGCCCAAAGAGGTAAGGAATCTCTTTTGTGCCTTCTGTAGCATCCATGGAGTTGTCTCATAGTGCTTGATAACTCCCACTTAACACTGGAGATGGGGTAAAGTGATGAACAAAGTGAGTACTCTCTCTCTCTCTCTCTCTCTCTCTCTCTCTCTCTCTCACACACACACACACACACACACACACACACACACAAATCAAAACAATTTTTAAAAAACATGCATCATGTATGAGGAAGCCCACCTTCGCAGACATTGGACATTGACCAGACATATGTGAGTCACTTTCACTGACTTGATGCTTAGTTGGCAATCTTGAAGATAGGATACTAGTCCCATTATACATTGACAATGGTGGATTCTTTGCTAATTCTGAAAGGGCTGAGTTTACATGAGCCTTTGTAAAACATGAGCTCTTAATGTCTCTTGTTTGGACAACAAAGGTAAATTCACCTGCTTGGTCAGACAACTAGGAGTATGACCAGTCTGAAAGTTAGCAATAGACTTCTTTTTCTTGTTGTTGTTTGCTTTTATTTTTTCTTAAACATCAATGTATTTTTTTAAAAAAATAGCACTTATAGCTAATGTTGGTTTCAAAGCTCCCCTTCAGGCCTCTGGGGCACTTCCTGCCATCATATCCATTACACAAGAATCGTAAATATAAATGGCCAAAAAGACCAGACAAGGACTTGAAGATGAAGGACAGAGATGGGGAAGCATTTGTAGAAGACTTCACTTCCTGTCTTTACAAAGTAAGGACAGGCCCTTACCTCCAGCCACATTGACCTCCCGTTTCCTCTTGGGTGTCACCTCATCCTCGGTGGTGCTAGGTCCAGCTGCAGTGTTGGAGCAGTAGTGGCCAGGTGGTTGGGCTTCATCTGTTATCTGTCCAACTGATTGGAGAGCATATAAAATATCAAAAAGCATAAGACAGGCCATGGGGACATTAGTATTTCACATCGTTCGAGTAAGTGGGGTGAATTTAATTTAGACAAATTCACATGAAAATGTGACTTGCTTCTAAAAATACATGAAGATTAGACAGTTTCCAAGCTATGATTTTTGAAAGGAAAACACAGCACACCATAGTCAATCATGAAGTGAGGAGACTCATGCAAAGATTAAATAAAATAAGACAACATTAAAATAAGACAACAGCCAGAAGCGATGACAGTTGCCAAGTGCACATGCGATGGATGGCAGAGAAGCAGCTGAGTTGCCTTTTGCTTTCAAGAACTGTGTGTTCATTCGTGACACCAGTCATTACTGCTCTTTTAAATGACTAAACCTACTCACGGTGACTCACCCTGAATGTTTCATCCATTAGTAGATTTAATGATTTGACCTCAGTATTCACCCTATATGGACAGAAGCTGCCACAGAATTCCTATCAGTTTGACAGCACACATTCTCAAACAAATTCCCATTGTATAATGCTGACTACTGCCATGGACCTCGGAGGCACAGAGGTCTGGGTTCAAGTCCTATCTCCCATGCTGTTTCCTTGGTTTACCTACTGTCAAAAGAGATAGGGAGTCCAATGTGTCAGGATTAAATGATGTAATATATACAGAGCACCTGTACTTAATAGCAATAACTACTACTGCATGGTGGGGATGATAATTAGCAATTTAACTTTTTATCACTGAAGTCCAAGCTGATGTAAACTGTAAAGTCAATTGTGTTCATCTTTAGTGTCTGACAACTCTGTCTCCCTCACTGCTGGTCACCTGATGGCCTGTGACTAACTTCATAATGCTACAAAAACTCATCGTCCTGTAGTCAACAGACACTCCATCAATAACGTGAGGCTGAGATCTGCCTTCAGTAGTGAAAACACAGTGGTATCAGTCTCCTGTCTCCCCCTCTCTGCTTCCATGCCTCTTCCCCTTTCCTCTTCCTCACCTTCTGACATCATAATACAGGCTAATCCAAGAACTACACTTTGAGAAAAACAACTAGAATGCCATCTCTAATTCTTGACTAGTTTAAAATAAGTTTCTGAGAGGTAACTAGGGTTTGGGAAGAAATACTGTGATAAATACAGGTGAATCTCAGTGGGGAAAATTATAAATATTAATACAAACATGGAAACAAAAAGTGGAGTATCATATAGCTCAGATATATTGTTTAGCATTTTGTTTGAACATTAGGTTTCTTAATTTATGCAAGGTGCAAACAGAAACATTTATTTACCACTCTACAGTTTGGAGATGACACCACCTCATGATAACTCTGTTAGAGTTGGATGTGTTACTCAGTCAGTTTAGAACATTTATGGATGGAGGACATGGAATTCACGTATTGTTTTGTCTACTGTGTATTATCATAATGTGTGTACACATAAGCAATGGCTTGGAGATTTGAATAAACCAGATTGGTTGACTGAGCAATGGTGATTCCCAGGATGTTGGGCCAGGGATGGAGACTGACTCAGTAGTACCAGCAGACATCTGGGTTTGTCCTAAGTGCCAAAAGCTGCAAGGAAATGAGGCCTTTACCAAACTAAGCAAATGCCAGCAGATAAAGACTACATGTTCTTTCTCTCATATGTGGGATCTAATGTAAACTCACATGTGTGTGCAGAAAGGAAAGTGGATGGTGGCTTGGGGTCAAAGGAAGAGGTCTCAAGCAATGGGAAAGGCTGAAAAGATAGGGTTATGGGGGAGGCGTGACACAGATTCCGGAATTATGGGTGTGTGAGGAAGAGGGGAGCGGAGAGGAAGGGAGTGCTATGGGTGAACCAGAAAAAAAAGTGTGTGTTGAATATGAATTCGGATATCATAATTAAGCCATTGCAGTGGATGTTGATAAAAAAAGTTTTAAGGAAATACGGCTTACTATAATAAATAACAAACAATAGTTAGATAGCAGTCACTGAACAAGACCCTAGTCTAAGCAGCCATGCATTAATCTGACCATTACGACTCACCAAATCAATGGTGAAGCTGTCTCACTGAGTCAGGGCTATAGCCTGGCCAATCTGCTAGCCTCGTCTGGAGGAAGTAGCTATGGAGTTGGGAGTGGCTGGGCACAGTTCTCCCAGGACGCACAACAAACGGGTGGTTTCTTACAGGGAATTTCTTAGAAAACCATCTTTTCCACCCCAAAACTGTAGAGAACCTCATAATAGTGTTTGAAATACTACAATAACTTAGTATTATAATATTATTATTTCTATTATTAAAACAAATATTTCCAGTAATACATACCATGTTTCCCTAAGCATAAAAATGGCATGAAGTTGTTACTGAAACTAAAAATTGTAGAAAAAGAAATAATTGTGACTCTGAACTGTTAACTCACAACTCGCTGGGTTCCTGAGAGGCTTCACTCACTTTGCTTTTACTCTGGAGAGACTCTCACGCCTCGCTCTGTCAATTTGACAACGTATTCTGTTTCTCCACTCAACATGTAAAAAACGGTCTTTCAGTGACTACAGAGCAGTGGTTCTCAACCTTCCTGACGCTGTGACCTTCATACAGTTCCTCCGGTTGTGGTGACCCCAACCCACAAAATTATTTTCCTTGCTACTTCATAACTGTAATTTTGCTATTGTTATGAATCATATCGTAAATATCTGATATGTGGGATATCTGATAGGCAACTCCTGTTAAAGGATTGTTCAACACACATGCACACACACATGCACCACACACACACACACACACACACACACCACATACACACACACACACACAAAACACACACACACACACACACACAACA